AGAGTCGTTGGCTGAGAACTGATGTTGAAGTTTCTCAGAGTACTGTCGTTTAGCTTCTCTCACCGCCTTGCTAAACTTGTACTTTGACTCCTTAAACTCCTTAAAATTATTTAGCCTCCTTCCTGACTGCTAGCATGCTACAGCCTCACTTGTAGCGACCCAAAACCAAAAGTTACATAGTACAAGCAGGCGTAGGGGGGCACAGAGTGGGAATGATAGTGGCACAGTTCACCCTGTTACAACTCAGTGTAGCTTCAAAATGATAGTGAAGCTGTTATTTTAATGCAGAAAAGTTACCTAGTGTTGCTTTAATATTGATGTAGTCAACATAGCAACACAGGCAATTCATAGAGGTACCTCATTCTTTGGCTCTTGGCACCAATGCAAAAAGGCTAGTGAGGGCTGCTGGTAAGATAATGATCACAGTGTTACGGAAACCCACTTGCACAGACATTAATTTGAACTCTAACCACTACTTACAACATAAAACATACTGTATGTCACACAAAGTTACGCAGAGCAACCTCTGGTCAGTGAGGAGGAAGATAGAGTGAGGAAGGAGCAGCTGGTCTGTGGGGAAACCCCAGGAATACACAGAGTGGATGGTGAGGATCCAGTCGAAACTGCTAACTGCAGGCACCACCACATTCACACCACAAATGTTTCACCTCATTAAACATGTTTCACTGTTTTTATATAACTTCAGGTCTCTTTTACACACACTACAGTGATTGTGTATTGGGTTCTGAGCTCTGCTGAAATGCAGATGACCTACACTCAGTACTGTGCCTGAACACAGCCTGTGTAGACACAGATGGAGGACTGAAGCTGCAGCTGCTGCTCTGCTAACGTGCTACTTTCACTACGTAGGTTGTGTAGACATTGTGTAAGTCTCGTTTTCACACGATTACAAAAGGTGATATACAAGTGCAGGCTGCGAAGGTGCTTGTGAACATCATTTTATAGGCTCACAACCCATCTCTGAAAGGCTGTTTCCATTATCACACTATAGGTATGTTTCTTACGTTACTTTTCTAGTACCCCCCATCCCCTCGTTCCTTTCACCTTACAGTGCATGTCCTGACAGCTCCAGTCAGCATGGCCAAATGTAAATGTAGGCAGCATCATCAGCCTTAGCGTGGCCTTTACCCATTCTGTTTGTGTGTGATAATGTGTGCCGGAGAGAGAGTGAGAGAGATTTGTTAGCATACAGGACCTGTAGGAGTGTCCAAACAAGGACTGTCAGATCAGTTCCTGCAGTGCGATACCACTCAGATCCTTCCTGCATTCCTCCGACCTCCTCAGAACTGCAGCATATTTTACAACCCACAGCAAGTCATGTGCTCTGTCCAAGCATGCATGTGTATTTGTGTGTGTGTGTATGAGAGAGAGACAGAGAGTGAGAAAAAGGCAAGAATTGTCTTTGTTTTAGCCACCCAATGTCTCCAAATATTTGTTCTGATTATGATCTTGTATTTTTATCCATATAAGAAAAATAATACACATAATAGAATTTTGGACTTGGTTAGTATTGCGGTTAATTTCAAATTGGCTGAATTGACTCTTCCCAAGTCTCGCCCCTTTTGGAACCTCAGTCAACTTTCTCTTTCCCTATATGCTATGTGCTAGGCTAATCTATGTCAAAATTACAACCGCATTTTGATTTCAGTTCAGTTCTATTTGTATAGCAACAATTCATAA